AGGAGGGAGTTACAATAGTCAAGGCGAGAGATAACAGGGAGTGAATAAGTTGCTTAGTAGTTTCAGAGGTTAAGAACGGGTGTATCTTGGAAATGTTGTGGAGGTGAAGTCTACAGGATTTGGACAGTGATTGGGTTTGGGGCTGAAAGGGCAGATGGAAGTCTAGTACCCTGGCATGAGGGTAGGAACTGATGTTTGTATTATTGATCTTGATGGAGAAGTCAGGGGAAGGGGCATGGGCTGGAGGGAATAGTATGAGCTCAGTTTTGGAAAGATTTAGTTTGAGGAAGTGGAGTGACATCCATGCTGATATGTCGCTTAGTAGGTTAGTAATGCGAGAGGAGACTGAAATGGTGAGGTGAGGAGTAGAAAAATAGATTCTTGTGTCATCAGCATAGAGATGGTACTTAAAGCCATCGGAGTTTATCAAGTGACCAAAGGAGGAGGTGCAGATGGAGAAGAGAAGGGGTCCAAGGACAGAGCCTTGAGGGACCCCTACAGAAAGAGGAAGTGGAGATGAGGAGACAGAGTTATAGGTAACGCTGAAGGAGCGCTGCGATAGTTAGGAGGAGAACCAGGAGAGAGCAGAGTCTCAGAGGCCAAGAGAGTGGAGTTTTTTGAGGAGGAGGGGATGGTCAACAGTATCAAAAGCCGCAGAGAGGTCAAGTAGTAAGAGTATGGAGTAGTGGCCATTGGTTTTAGCAGTTAGTAGATCATTAGTGAGTTTTAGTAGGGCAGTTTCAGTGGAGTGGAGTGGAGTGTAGTGAGCGAAAGCCAGACTGTAAAGGATCAAGAAGGTTGTTGTCAGTGAGGTAGAAGCACAGACAATTGTAGACTAAGCGTTCTAAGAACTGGAAAAAATAGGCGCTGTGGAAAATGCTCTCAAACAAGCACCTTAGTGAAGGTGCGTCTTTATTGGGTGAGACAAAGTAGTAAATATAATAAAATTGACCAGCCTGAAGTGGACAAAGTGACTCCAATAGACGGCCCGTCCGCTCTGAGGGGAGCTGAGATCAGAGAATGCTCCTGTCGACTTCAAATCACGTGGTGTCAGTGTACCAGCGTCCCGGGTGGTGCCACCATGGTAAGCGAAGGCAGTGTCCGGCGTTGGCTTCACTGGGAGCATATGTAGGGTTACCAAGACGACATGTTTTGCACGAAACATAAAGTAAAGAGACAACGAGGACTAGATGACAAGGTATTAATAAGAGTGACAAAGTAGGTTTGTTTGGCAGCATGGAGGGAAGAATTGTATGTTAAGAAAGCAGATTTATATAGGGTGAATGCTTGCTGGGATTTGGTTTTACGACACAATCGCTTCAGTGCACGATTATGTCGCTTAAGATTTCTGGTGTCATCAGTCTGCCATGGTTGTAATAGTCGGGGCAGGATACTTTGTGTAGTTAGAGGAGTAAGTGACTGTATTGTGGATGAAAGCAAACTGTTGTAGACAGCAGTGGCCAGGTGAGGGCAGGACAGGGGAGAGATTCTGTCATAGAGTTGGTCAGTTGCAGAGTGGAAAAGAGCAGGGTTTAAGCTGTGAAGTTTTCTGCGGGTAATTTTTTGCTGCTTGGAGGGATAAGTGTTTGAAGACGAGGACACTGTAAAGGTGATGAGACTGTGATCAGATAGAGGAAAGGGGGTGTTTGTGAGGTTGTAGGGAGTGCAAAGATGGGAGAAAACAAGACCTAATGTATTCCCATCAGAGTGAGTGGAGGACTGTATACATTGTGTTAAGGCAAAAGATGAGATTAGGTTGAAGAGTTGGGATGTAGCTGGTTTGTTCACATTAATGGGGATGTTAAAATCTCCAAGAAAGATAGTGGGTATTTCAGATGAGAGAAAGTAGGCTAAGAAATAAGTACAGAATCCTTCGTGACAAGCATGGCACTAGACATGTAAGTGTAATTTTACTATTTCCATTAAAAATGGTAATGGTTTTGGGTGATGTGGCACCTTGCTTTCTTTCCTCTATGATGAGCACTGGAGAGTATCTGATTTGATCTTGGAGATTGATCCTGGTTGATGTTAAGTGTAGATCCATGTGAGACCATTTGAATGCAGATAGAGTACAAGTTCTTTGGATCGATATTGGATTGTGTATGCTGCCATACCTTTTGTTATTTCACAGCGTTTTTTGGGATGAATACCTGGTTTCTCTGAAAGGCGGAGGATTTTTTGCACTAAAGGACTTTATATAGCACATATGCACTTTTTTGGTGTTTGATTCAATATTAGGACACTGTGACAGAAGACTGATTTCATATGTAGATTTTATATGTTTTTCACACTTTGATGATTTTCTGGACTTTCAGATGAATTAATTTTTTGCACCTTACTGTTTTTGTTTTGCACTTTACATACACTATATTGCCAAAAGTATTGAGACGCCTGCCTTTACACACACATTAACTTTAATGGCATCCCAGTTTTAGTCCATAGGGTTCAATATTAAGTTGGCCCATCCTTTGCAGCTATAACAGCTTCAGCTCTTCTGGGAAGGCTGTCTACACGGTTTAGGAGTGTGTTTATGGGAATGTTTGACCATTCTTCCAGAAGTGCATTTGTGAGGTCAGGCACTGATGTCAGACAAGAAGGCCTAGCTCACAGTCTCCACTCTGATTCATTCCAAAGGTGTTCTGTCGGGTTGAGGTCAGGATCCTGTGCAGGCCAGTCAAGTTCCACCATGCCGAACTCGCTCATCCATGTCTTTATGGGCCTTGATTTGTGCCCTGGAGCAATGTCATGTTGGAACTAAGTTGGGAGCATGAAATTGTCCAAAATGTCTTGGTATGCTGATGCCTTAAGAGTTCCCTAAACTGAAACTAAGGGGCCAAGCCCAACCCATGAAAAACACAACCCCACACCATAATCCCACCTCCACCAAACTTTACACTTGGCACAATGCAGTCAGGCAAGTACTGTTCTCCTGGCAACCATCAAACCCAAACAGATCCATCGGATTGCCAATCAGAGAAGCATGATTGGTCACTCCAAAGAACATGTCTTCACTGCTCTAGAGTCCAGTGGTGGAGTGCTTTACACCACTGCATCCAACGTTTTACATTGCACTTGGTGATGTAAGGCTTGGATGCAGCTGCTCGGCCATAGAAACCCATTCCATGAAGCTCACTACGCACTGTTGTTCTGCTAATTTGAAGGCCACAAGAAGTTTGGAGGTCTTTAGCTATTGACTCTGCAGACAGTTGGGCGACTTCTGCGCACTGTGCGCTGCAGCACGCGCTGACCCTGCTCTGTCATTTTATGTGGCCTACCACTTTGTGGCTGAGTTGCTGTTGATCTCAGTTGCTTCCACTTTGTTACAATAGCAAATTTCACAGATGGACTTATTGCACAGGTGGCAACCTATCACAGTACCACGCTTGAAATTACTGAGCTCCTGAGAGAGACCCATTCTTTCACAAATGTTTGTAGAAGCAGTCTGCATGCCTAGGTGCTTGATTTTGTACACCTGTGGCCATGGAGGTGATTGGAACACCTGAATGATTCGGAGGGGTATCCCAGTAGTTTTGGCAATATAGCATAGGTGTGGAACCCCAGAGCTCTTTGTTCCATGTTGTTCAGGTAGATCTCTACCTCTCAAAGTTTGCCCACCCCTGCTCTAAGGTGTTGCCAGCCTTATAAGAGTTAATGTCCACCAGCCATGCAAACAGAAATACCCACTGGAATATTGCAGTCATATGACCACTTGGAGGAAGATTTAGAAAAAAAAAAAGGCTTTCCACATTGAAATTTCTTACAAACTACATGGAGCAAGTATGAGAGCAGTGGGGAGGCAACTTTTAAAATGTAAGGTATTTTAGCCTTTCCGTCTACTTTAATTCCCACACAACTGAAACAGAATCAAGCCCCTACAATTAAGTGGTTTATTAAATAAACTTAGCTCTAAAGGTTGAATATGAACCTTTATTCTTGAGAACAAATATGACAAATTTTGTAACGTGTGGTCCTGTTGGATAAAGCTTACTCTTACGGACAGTTATAACAGACCATTTCATTGTGCAGACTACAGATTTTTCAATTGATAGGCTAATATTTTCATGCTCCAATAGACACAGCCAGGCATGACCTGGTAGTTTTCAATTATGTTTCTCTCTTTCTGCTGTTTTCTTCCTCCAATGTGCTACTTCTTACCTTATGAATTATTTTTGTGACACTAAAAAAAAAATAATAAAACTGTTCTTTGTTTTGTGTAACATAAATGTTAAAAAAGCATTTGCTTCTATTATGTATTTCTGATCTGCTACTAAATAAATTCACTTAAAAAAAATGTCATTTAGGAGAGTGAAACCTCTTACAATGTGAAATATAATTTTAGCCATCTACACACAGCAATGTTATGAGAGCAGTGTAATATGCCTTACATATAGTAGTTTTCATAATTCTGGTTATGACCAGTTCCAGTACAAACATTGATGGAGTGGGATTTAGAACACAAAACCATGGCGTATAAGGGCTTAGCATGATTTTCTGGCTTTAGGTCTTGGGCAAGGGGTTGTTTCTTCATTGTGCACCCAATATAAAGGTGCATATAACAAAAATAAAGAGATCAGATCTTGCAAAATTAGAAAATGTTTCCTCCATACAGTGAGGAACAGAAGTATTTGAACACCTGTGATTTTGCAAGTTCTCCCACTTAGAAATCATGGAGGGGTCTGAAATTCACATTGTAGGTGCATTCACACTCTGAGAGACAGAATTTTAAAAAACAATTCAAGAAATCACATTGCATGATTTTTAAAAAGTTAAACATAATGTAAATCCGTTGTCAATTACATCATCCACCAGTGTAAATCCACATTAACCACTTGGCAACTGTGCTATAGCCGAATGAAGGCTACGGCGCGGTTGTTCCAGTCCTGCCAGGGCCATGCAGAGCGCACTGGTGATCTCCTGTGCTACAGACACAGTTGATCACGTGATGCGGTAAGAGGCCAATCATAGCGGTACCACATGATCATGTCCAATGACACAGCAGATCACCTGGTAAATAAAATTGCCGATTATCGGCTGCACTTTCCTCACGCTATGACAGCAAAGTATTGCCAAAAACAAAGTACTGCTGATAACCAGCAATTGTCAGTGCCCTGATGATCAGTGCCCAGCAGTGCCGCCCAGCAGTGCCACCCACCTGTGCCCAGCAGTGTCCCTCATCAGTGCCACCTATCAGTGCTGCCCAGCAGTGCCACCAGTCAGTGCCCATCAGTGCCACCCATCAGTGCTGCCTATGCATGCCACCTCATCAGTGCCCATCATTGCTGCCTATCAGTGCAGACTCATCAAGGCACATCAGTAAAGGAGAAAAATGACCTGTTTGCAAAATTTTATAATAGAAACAAAGAAACTTTTTTTTTCACATTTTTTGCTCTTTTTTTGTTTATAGCACAAAAACAAAACACCCAGTGGTGATTAAATACCACCAAAAAGCTCTATTTGTGTGAAAAAAATGATAAACAGCTCATATGGGTACAATGTTGCATGACCGCAAAATTGTCATTCAAAGTGCAACAGCATTGAAAGCTGAAAATTGGCCTGGGCATGAAGGAGGTATAATTGCCCGGTAGGCAAGTGGTTAATCACGATGAATGATGTCCACCAACTTACCAAAAGAAAAAAAACATGCCAAAATATCCAATTTTATCATTCACTTGAATCACAGGTACCCATTCCTGCAGTGGAATGAGGCGAACAGGCAAGGGATCCTGGGTGACATCATTGAACAAATATGGGCATTATATTTTGGCCAGTGATAGTATGGGGTTTATTGAGTTTTTTATTTCTGTGGTTCATTGGGTGTCATTCATCATGATTGATGAGAATCTGCATTGCTGGACGATGTGATTGACAATGGTTTTACATTGTGGGATCTGCTTTGTTTTTTGGCCAGACTTCTCTTTTGGGTCACAGGACTGTACTTACTTGTGTTCTCCTGTTACCCAGAATCAGCCAAGAGCAGGCTAAAGCCCACTTTTGACTAACGTCCATTATCTGGAAGGATCCCGACAAGAATGTCAGGATCCATCCATATACCTGATCAGCAGCTGGCTTGGTTTTGAGAGCCTGAACCACCCCCTCCAAACCCTGGTGCACCAATGAGCATTGACAGTCACCGCTCTTTGCTCAGAGTAGACCAAGAACTGAGTGATCAGCGGCCATGTGATTTCTCAGTTCTTGGGCTTATTGCCACAGGGAACAGCTGCAGCGTCAAACTGATGTTAACCAATGTACCAATGTGGGTGACATGCAGGCTCCAGAAGATCCTACTCCATCACCAACTCATGGTGCCAGCTGGGAACCGAGCTCATCCAGGCTTCAAACATCAGCATATAATGAAGAAAAAATCTCTCAAGCCACACATTGCTGCAATTCAGATACAGAGGAGTATGGGGTGGGGTGGCAGCCTCCAACCAGATCGCTTTCCCAGTGACCCATGTGGGAACTCGTTTCAAATGGTAGAGCTCTTCTTGTTAAAGCACACAGCAACTCGCTTCGTTAAGGGCCTTTTTGCCCAATTTTATTTACAAGAAAGTTCAAATAACACAAATGCTTCCCACGCAGGGGTCTCCACCATCAAGAAATACCAACAAAGATTCAGCCTCCTGGCTTGTACACAGTTCACTGTCTGTCTCCTGCAGACTCTTCCCAAATTATAGCCACTAGCACACAGCTAGTCTGGCTTCCGCCTGACTCCAAGGCAGAGACCTCCCGTCTGCCAGGGTGGAGCCCTCCTGACTCCGTTTGCCGGGGTGGAGCCCAGAACCATGGTTAGGCCTCTACAAAAAGGCCTGCACACACCTGTGCAATCAGTGTGCTGGGGGTTCTCAAAACACGGACCCCGGATTGGAGATTTCATCCCTCCCAGATCTCTTTGAAATCTCCAGGCTCCAGATCCCAAAACAGACTTAATGAGTAAATGAGGAAACTGAAAAGCCAGTTTCCTCTGCAATCCAACTCTCTGGAGCCCCTCAACCTGCCTGGTTGAGAATCCAGGGTTTTCAGCTTTATTTTGACCGTGGCAGGACACCGCACTGCCACACCCAGGAAACCATATAGGTGTATTTTTCTCCTGAATTCCAGTCCCTCTGCAATGCTGTTGCGGTTGAGCACACCCTGCAGCAGATAAAAGAGACTGTGCCTGCCTACACGCTGTTTGTGGAAGCAAAAAAAAATGCAGATGTGCCCTGCTTTGCCCAAACCATGACATTCCTATTGGAATGTTACAGTAAACAATGAGCGAAGTGGGTAGGTACCCATTTTCCCTGGCAACATTACTCATTCTTCACTGTAGCCTAGCAGTGGAGACACTTTCTAATGCTAGGCTATGCTGGGCCATATGCTGCACAAGCCCGTTTATATTATAGTTAGTATATCTATTAGATTTAACTTTAGTGTGTACACAGCTCAAGTGCCACCCAATTCCTGCTGAATCAGTGAAAATATGTACTGAGGGTGGCCTTGCAGGCTCCAAGCTACTCAAAAAAAATAGTGACTGTGCAGCAGCTGTACTGTATCCAAGGCAGCCTTGGGTACATGACTGCTGAAAACAATATCCAACAATTGGAGACTCTTCCATTTATACTGTTTAACATGGGTGGCGGAATCAATTAAATTTATCTTGTTCAACCCACAGGCCGAATGAGAGAAAATTTAGTTGTGTATTGGCTAGCTTAGGTTGTAGAGTGCAGGCTGATATAGAAAAGGTGGTTACCGTGTGTATAGATTGGGATTCAAGGATTGATGTTTTTTCTGTGGTTTTGGAAGGTGTGTCAGATTACTTTTTCTTCAGCATATTATTTGGAGGAGGGTAAGATGTGCCAGGTTGTCACAATACTGCCGAAAATTAGATTACAATCAGTGGCTAGGGTTAAGTTTACATCCAACATGGGCACAATCATCATTTTTACAGTACACTTTACAGTAAAATAAAAGCGCTAAACGGCCACCAAGTGCTGCCTGCTATACGAAAGTCAACTTCTTCATCACCCTTGCTGGCCTGAATTGTGGTTGCTGTCATATGCTAATAGCAACATAATCTAGTTGTCTTGAAGGCTGGCCCAGCTCATTCTTTTTTATTGCACCATATTACTGGCCAAGTGCTATGGGATTTCGGGGTACCAAAGAGAAAACAACAAAGATGTAGGTGTTGCTTGAAATTTAGATCTATGGCTAGCTTAGTGCATTTATGATACAACAGTTGCACTTTAATATTAGCTGTGGAGAGAGTGTGAGATAAGAGATACTTTAAAATACATTGGTGTGAGTTCAGATGCTATACATATCAACATCTCTAATATAAAGGGTGACCTACAAAAAACTGAAGAATGCACTATTAATACCAAAGACTAATTAAAAAGTGAAGTTCAGTAAATTATTACCTACATTACCTGTAAAGGATCAAGTGTAAGGGCCCATTAACATCTATAACATGTGCATTGCGGTGTGTTAACATGTGTTGCATTGAGGCTGCACATTAATTGAACCCAACCACAAACTGGGCATGAGCCTTTCATCCGATGCAGTGCACTGTGACCATGGTAGTGCATAGCTGGATGTTGTGGTGTGCTGCAATGCAGGTGCATTTCTTTCATTCATTGGGATGCCATTGAAAATTAATGGCACCTCAATGCACTATTGTGTACATTATGCTTTGCCATGTGTTGTGTTAATGCACACAGTATAATTGCCCTGTAATTTCTACCCATTCTTTCCTGTTTATGAAATACCAACAGGTCCCATCAGACAAAACTGCATACAACCATTTCTGCAAAAGCTAATTTCTGAAGTGTATAAACAAATTCATAAGAACAGTAAATATACAATCCACAATGGGGATTCACATACTGAGAACAAAAACTAAGAACAGCTCAATACATTAAAGAGAAGGCAAGTCTTGATAACATGGTTTCAAAATGTAACCTTGGTTTTAAAGTCTGAACAGGTTAGCATATAGCTTTTTTATATTTCAAACTTTCTATGTTATAGCTAAAGCATGCAGGTTAAAGGTCATCACTACTAGCATGAAACCTATATCTATTTTTTACCCAACATCACAAGGGATTCTCAGCCTTTAACAAACTGTCTTATATATATTTTGTACAAAAGTTCTTTTTTTTGTTATTTAATGGTTTTGACAAAGCAGAATATCTAAGAAAATTGATTTAAAAAAAGGAAAGCCTAAGGTTATAGCGCATTCTTCCACTTGACCAAAAGCTGAGAAAGGAGAAGTGGTTTCTACATTTTAAGAAGTTATTTTAGGTTATAGATAATGCTTACTACCTCAAAATCATGCTCATATGTTAGCATCACTGGTTCTGTTCCTAAAAGCTTTTTACTTTTTTCACTTTATAGAAGCTAAAAAATCGAGTAATCTTGAGCATAACAGCTAACCTTGCACTGACCCTCTTGGATATAAAGGCTTGTGAAATTGAGCATGTAAATTTTAGATTTTCTTATGCAATTTAAAAAAAATCCAATTAAGACTAGGAGTGAGGTTTGGGTTTGCTGCTATCATGGCTTCAAGGAGAATAACTGGGCTTTGCAAACGAAAACTTAGCAGGTTCCACATCAGAAATAGGAAGCAACCTATACTGTAGTGCCTATCCGGTACCCCTGGTCAACTGAGTCACAAGAGCGGACTCACAACAGCCTTATTGTCAGTGTGTATTATAACTGTTAGGGGAAGGTTTTTTTTAGCTATTAGTACATGTTCTTTATGGTGGTGATCAGCATCCAATGCCTCTTGTGTGACAACAGTTTGCCCACAAATGGGCAAATTTTATAAAAAGATTTGCCCTTCAAAGACTTCAATGGGGTTCACCACAAAGTTCGGGAACTTTGAACAAGATTCACAAACATAACCAGAGCAGATTCACTCATCCTTACTTGGGACAAGGATTACAAGCATTTACTGTATATTAAATGAGGCTAAAAGCATTTAAATATGTTTACTGAAGATGTACAGAGATTTCCATTCTACAGTATTTAGTAATGGTCTGGCAGCAGCAAGGAAGGGAGGCAGCAGTCCTGCATGAGTTCCAGATCTGTTCTGCTGAGGTCAGCATGACTAAAGCTGACTATAAGCTAGTAGAATGGTGTTTGAAAATTTTTGTTTTAAAGAACATTTGTTCAATTGTTAGCGAAGTCAAATGGATGTTCTTTTTCTACCACAGGGACAAGAAAACTCGAAGGAGCTGGAAAGAAGATTTTTTTGGAACAAACAAATGTATTTGGTTTTCGTTTGGGAAATTACATTCATTCCAAAATTATGTTTTAAAAGCAAA